TTATTTAGTTTTGAATAAGTAAGATATCCACAGACTCTTTAAATGATTGGGTTCAAATACAGTGAAATCGTCCCTCCTGTTTCTGTTGCACAGCCAGAGAGGCAACTGGTGCTATTCTCTTAGGCATACTTAGATATTTTAATGAAAAAAAAAAAGTAGATAAAGGTCCACAGTTCCTTATCTGGAACGGTTGGGGGCAGGCGTGCTTGGGAATTCGGAATTCAAGGTGTGTGTAACGGTGGTCCCACAGGAGCCCTTCTATGTCACAGGCGGTTGGTGATTGTGACACTAGGGACCAAGCACAGGTGGGTGGGACCCGTACACCGTGCGGCAGACACAGTGGTAAACTACTGCTGCATTTTTTCTTTTTTCTTTTCCTACCTTGAAAACCCTGTGATGAGACAGCTCATGCAACTCGTGGGACAACAACAAAGGTAGTGTGTGTATTGTGTCACACCCCAGCAGAGTCTGTGATAAAACATGCTAATATTTCTGCACTAAATAGGATAAATACAGCTTTAATCAGCCTTAAGTCAGTTCAGTTGAATTCAAGTTTTGCTACCGAAGGTGTTTGTACAAAATTTATTTTTAAAAAACCAATTTCTGTTTTTGTAGAGATGTTTCAATTTCATAATTGTGAATAAGGGAATGTGGACTTGTGTTTAGACTACTCTTTATTGAAAAACTTATGATAGCATTCAGTACACATTGGATCAGTACTAAAGAGCTTCTTTGTTATTGTTTTTTGCATTCACATAGTTTTCTATTGTACACGTGCACTGTAATTAATTTAGCCTTTTTTATGGACATTTGGATTATTTCCAGTTTTCTCCCCGGTTGCATCAATGCTGCAATGAATAACATTGTAAATTCATTTAACACATGTGCAAATATATCTGTAGGGTAAATTCCTAGCAGTGGAATTGCCGGGTCAATTAAAAATAATGATAGTTAACATTTGTATGGCATTTACTAAGGGCCAGGCAATGTGGTAAATGCTTTACAATAATTAATGTATTTTAATTCTTACGAGAATCTCCAAAGGTAGCTACCATTATCATCCCATTTTACAGATGAGAAAAACTGAGGCACGGAGAAGTTAGCTGACTTGGACATCTGGGATTCAGACCAAGGTGCTCTGGCTCCAGTTCATTCTCTTAACTATCACATTCTGCTGCCTTTCGAAGGTCGTGGGAATTTGTAAGAGAGGGATATTGCCAAATTGTCCTCCCTATAGCTTTACCAATTTTTGTTCCCACCAGTAGCGTGTGAGAGTTCTTGTTCCCCGCCAACGCTGTGCTGAGTCAAACGTTTTGATCTCTGCCAATCTGATAGGTGAATATGGTATCTCTGTGTAGTCTTAACTTGAATTGCTTTTACAATGAGTCAGGTTGAGCATCTTTTCATCTAAGGGCCATCTTATTTCCTTTTCCATAAACCACTCATTCATGTCTTTTGCTCATTTTTCTTTTTGGTAGTTCTGTGATTTGCGTTGAGGCTTTTCATATCTTAGGAAGACGAGTCCTTGGTGATTCAAATTGTACAGCTCTTATCCCACGTAGCCATTTGTCTTTTGTTTTTTCTTGTGGTGATTTTGGGGCAGAGTATTGTGAGGAGATAAATGAAGGAGAAAGCCTTCAGCATTAGGAAGTGGACGGAGGGAGAACACGACAAATCCCTAGGGAGAGTGGCCTAGAGTGGCAGGAGACAAGGAAGGTGATGGAGAGAGTAAAGGCACTCCTTGTGGAGACAGGGGTACAGGGTTCAAACACACCAGGTGTAGCCCACTCAGACCAGAGGCTGGGAAGAGGAGGGGCTCCATGGCGGACACAGATTTCTTTCCAAAAAAGGACTGTCCAGCTACAAAGCAGGGCCCATTCAGCTTTCAGACCAAGTTTATGCTCTTGGCGTGGCTTTGGCCATTGACCAAGCCAGGTAGTGAGACGAGAGCCTAGCCATTTCCACCTTTCCGCCCAATACCGACTCCTCTAGCAGGCCCTGGCGGACTAGCAGAGACGATCAGGTCTCAGTGCAGTCTAAAGGCTCTAATCCCGTTTTCTCCTTCTCTCACAGGCATTACCTCCCCCGCCTGCACCCCCCAGTAATCATCCTGCATTCCTAACTCCATCTCAGCACATCAGCTTCCTGGTAAACCCAAGCTGCCCAGACTCCTAAAATCTTTTGGCAAAAAATTGGGATTAAAAATTTTAGAACCAAAGAGCCATTTCTCTGTTTAAACAATTCACGGAAATATATTTCACATTATTGGAGTCTAAAGATTTTCTTGTTTGTTTCTATTGGGTGGTGATTATAAATGCCCTGTGGCTTAGACGTAAAGTGAAAATGTCACACTGTGAGTAAAGGCAGCCGAGGGTGACCCTGCCAATGCCTGGAGGGGTTCTGATCTCAGCTCATAAGCTCATAGGCTGGAGGAGCAGTATGGAGTGGCTGATATGGGTCTGGGGGGTGACTGCCAGGCAGACCAGGACCTCTGGAAGGGCCTCTTGGGTAAGGTATGTGGGAGCACCTCCAACGCTGGCTTGACGCTCAAATACCTTCTCATTGGCAGCCACGAATGAACTGGATTGTGCCAGCCCTTATCTGCAGCCTCTCTTCGGTCCAGTCACCTGCTGTTGTGTCCTGACTGGTCTCATCTTTTATATGTTACCAGCGTGATCCCATCACACCACTTCTTGGTCTTAAACTTTGGATGGTTAACCCTGGAGTCTACCCCTCTCACCTGTGATTCCAGGCCCTTTATATTCTGGTTCTTGTCCTCCTTTCCTGTCTCTGTTTAACCACCTCCATCCTTTACTCCTTCATTCCACACTCACAGGACCACTGGCCATTTTGAGAACCCAGGAGGCACTGTGTCCCTCTGCATCGTCACAGCTGGTCTCTCTGCCTAGAACATCCTTTCTGTTTCTCCCTACACCTCCAGGCCTAGTTGATGTATCAGCTCCTCAGATGTGATTTACAGTGGGGGAGAGGTTGAGAGGAGGTATAAAAATGTAGGTTCGGTTTGCCATGTTCCAATTTCCTTTAGTGACTGTGGCAAGTATTCAGAGTACTCTTAATTAGTAAACACCTCTCCCCCTACCCACTCCCCTTTGGAACTCTCGTGTCCTTGAAGATGCTCCGTGCAGAGACTAGACCATGCGAGGGCTAGGTTAGATGGGTCACACATACATTCCTGGAAGACAGCCTAACTGGCATCTCTAGGCCATTCATCCTGCAGCCATCCCCACCCCATTCCCACCATACATACCTCCATGACCGCAATCACTGATCAACATTAAAACCACTAATCTGGATCAGGCATTCTTTGAACTCTCTCACCAAGACTGCCTGAAATGTTGAAATGCAACAGAATGCAAATCAGCCCCAAAATACTTGTCGAGCATATAATATGGGCAACGAATGGTGGTAGATGATAGGCCAGAGGGTTACAAGGAAGCATAATATGTGACAGAGTACCTGGCCCCAGGGGAATAGATTGCCCAATTTGTAGACAGGGCAAATACCGATCAACCTACGGTTATGCATGTAAGCGACACAGGTCCTAAGTGACAGGGGACCTCAGGAAAATGCTCACTGCAGCTGAAGCAGCCAGGGAGAGTTTCCTCAGGAGATGGGAATTGAGATAGGTTTTGAAGAATGGCAAGAATTTGGAGAGACTAGAGAGTGAGGAGGACCTCTAGGGAGAAGGTGGCTCTGTGAATCACTCAGGAGGAGTCCTACTTATTTTGTTTGATGAGCCTGGGGTGCATCAGATAATTCCATAAAGCACTGGTTCTCAACCCTGGCTGAATATTTTAATTACTGGAAGCTTTAAAAATGTACTGATACCTGGGTCCCACCTCCAAAGAGTTTTATTGAATTGGGTGTTGGGAATTTAAAGAGCTCTCCAGGTGATATCTGATACGCTGCCAGGGCTGAGAGCCTCTGCTTTACAGGAAGTTCAGGCAGTGTGAGAGCGCTCAGCCTGTCAGCCCTCAGGCACACACACCTGTTGGGCTCTGACACTTCTAAGGCATGCCTTTCATTCCCTCCTCCTGGACAGTGGCCACCCCAGGGAGGGGCCCTGGCCTCTCTTACAACCCACTCACACACCTGGCACCAGGCTCCCAGGAGGATTTCTGTCTTCTAGTTTCACATCAAGCAATCACAGGGTGATCAACCAGGCCACAAGCTGCCTGGCTTTCCCTCTGCCATCACTGCCTCTCTTCCTGTACTTTCCTAAAGCTCCGAAGGAAGCCGTGGCCAGCCAGAGAGCTGTCTCCCAGGACAGCGCCATTTTCAGTGGGCCTTGGGCCAAGCTTCCTGAAGACATATCTACATACACAGGCTTGACAGGGGCCTATGCACAGGCCACAAAGGGGATTTCTCTCCCTGCATTTCCTGGCAATTAGCAGGGCCTGAATAAAGTCCAGCTTGCTCTTTGAGTCTACTTCCACTGAGGGGTCTCAAGAATGTGGCTCCTCCTTTAAGAGAATTCTGTACGTGTGGCTACTGGCCACTGGCCAGTGTGCCCAGTCAGGAACACATTTGTCACAGGTTTGACTCAAGGAGGCCACTACTCCCCCTCCTTTCAGCAGCACAGCAGGGTTTCCAAACGGCCACGGTGAAAGAGTACATGGGGGTGACATTTATGGTTTTCTGAGAAGAAACATTGCTACACCCTGGGGTTTATGATCCAGGCAAGAGGTAAAATGCCCTGGCTCTGAGGCCTTTTTATTTAGTTATTGATTTAAAAATAACTTTAATGATTTTGTTTTAAAACGATACACATTCTTTATTAAAAGAGGAAAAAAATGCAAACAGCAACATACCCCTGGCTCAAGAAAGCCGCTCTCTTGAACACTTTGTGAGCTTGTCCAAAGGCAATGCGGCTGGCACGGGATATGCTGCGCTGGGCAGGGGCATGGAGGACATGACCTCTGCAAGCACTCCCCGTCCTGGGCTTGCATCAGTAATGCCATGACTCTCTCTCCAAACAGCCCCTCTGAAGATTTCCCACCACCCTGCCTTCTTGGAAAGAATGTCCAGCTTGTCCCACACCAGAACCCGGCCAAGAAGAGAAGATGCCGAGGTGGTGGCTCATCTTCCTCGGGTCGGGTAGTGTCGGGAGAGGCCTCTGAGCAGTCATCTCCGTTGCCTCACAGCCCTCCAGCTATGCTAAGAATGCAAACCATTTCCCATGGGACTGGCAACTGCCAAGCAATTCTGAGCACAACCTCCCCAAATATCTGCTTTGCAAACAGATAAAACAGAGAAGCATCCTGAAAATGTGATCTTCAGCCAGTCACCTTAGGCAGTTGTGCATGTCTGCTTGCCTGCTGGGAGTGTTTCTGCTTCCTGAGTCCATCTCAGAAGTGTTGGGGAGCCAGCCTGGGATGTGGCCGTGTTCCTCAAGCGGATAAAGAACAGAGAACTCTCTGGAAGGGGACTCTCAAGGGAACAGGGACCAAGCGATGCCCTGGGCTCCTTGCAGGGGTCTGGCTCCTATCTCAGTGCTGGAGTTATTGCTGACCAGTTCTAGGGTCATTTGAGTGCCTTATGGCTCCTGAGATGTCTGGGCATGGAGCTGCCTTCACCTGCAACAAGAAGCCACCTCAGCCAGCCTCTAGCCTTCCCAGTCTATACCACTTGGGATTTTGTAGCCTGAGTGAATGGGGATAGTGGCAGGGGCAAGGCCATGCCAGACTTGGCAGAGTTGGGGGACGAGAGGAGAGGCAGAGGACATGGCTTTCTGAGTAGCTCTCACTTTCCTAGAGACTCTAGAACACCTTGCTGCATCACTGCAGGCATGATCAGGCCCCAGTGACCTACGTAACCCTCCAGACGTGGGGCAGATGGAAGCACTGACTCATCCCAGGGGAGACTAACTTGGGAAGGGTGGGGGTGGGGAGGATTTATAATCTCAAGACATTGAAACCACCTAAATGTTCAGTGATGGCTCAGTGAATCATGATATGTCCACAGGATGGAATATTATGTAAAAGTGATTATTGTAAAGACTATGTAGCAATACTACAAATATTTATGATAGAATGCTAGGTGAACAAAAGGAAGATATGCATATTTTTTGCACATGAACAAGAGAAGACTGAAATGGACTTTTTAAAAAATAGCTGTTTTGCTACAGCAGTGTGATTATGAACCTTATTTTTAAAAAGAAAGCTGTGGCTTTAAAGTCAGACAGATCTAGACTAGTAGCTAAGTTCTATTTCTTACTAGAAATGACCCTGGCAGATAGCATAATGTGTCTGAGATTGGTTCCTGATCTGTAAAATGAGTACGATAATTCCTACCTTACAGGATTCTTGTGAAGATAAATCAGATGAGGCATTTCCTCCCTTCTCTCTTTCCTTTCTTCTTCCTCTTTCTCTCCCTCCTCCTGCTTAGTTTTCACTAATACAGCACAGTGCAGTTATCCACAGAGGCGTCTACCACCTTGGCATTTGCCTATTTGTGCTCCAAGCAGAGACGAAGCCCATACGTTTGGATGAGGAGGGCCAAGGATGACTGTAGTCCACACAGCCATGGATAGGGATGTTTGTCTAGTCTTGTGTTTCAGAGCAGCCCCCAAGCAGTAGTTAAGGCCATAAAGATGGAAGCAGGAGTCTTGGGGCTGACCTGGCTGGCACCACACACTGAGCAGACCCTTCTCTCTTCCACCTGCTGGGCTCAGGTTCTCTTATATCAAGTACGATCAATGGTTACCAAAGCCCGAGGCAGGTGCCTCTTGCAGACAGAGGTGATTTCCAGTGATTTACACTGTTTCATTTTAAGAGTGTAACATTTAAATAGATGTTCAGGAAAAAATGAACCAGTAGTTATAAGGGTACAACAGATATAAAATGATCTAAGCGATATAAAATGATATAAAATGGCTAAAGAATGAGCTGAGATAAAGGGAAATATTACATAAATAGTAGTTGGGGTTGTGTCTGGGTATATCGAACACCACCAAGGAAGCAAGGGAATGACTGAAGCCTGAGGGTCACTGCTCTACCCTCTCGCATGTGTCTGTCTCTTCCAGCGTCTGCGCCCCGACCCCTCCTATTACAGCAGAGAGATCTTTCTAAAACAACAACAACAACAACAACAACAAAAACCTATTCATTATAAGGCAATGACCTTAAAGAGAAGTCTAGACGTCTCTTTGGCAAGACCTCCAAGGTCCTCTGGGATGGGACTTTGCCTGTCTTGCAAGCTTCCCGGTCACTCTCGTCCTCTTCCCACTTTACATTCCTATACCCTGGATTTCCAAACCCAGCTTGCTGGCCAGGCCTCTGAGTCTTGGGATACGCTGTCTCCTCTCTCTACCTGTGATGTCCTTACCTCCTTGTCTGTCTTAAGGACTCCTATCCAACCTCCAGAACTTTCTCAAGGGTTTCTTTCTCTTGTGAAACTGCCTTGATCTCTTTGCAAAGGGTTAATCCTGCCTTCTCCTCTATCTTGAAGCTTTATCATATGTAGCCCAAAGCTTCTGTTTCCTTGACTATCTTCTTGATGAGGTGGTCTCTGAGGACCTACAGCATTTCGTTTAGCATCCTGTAACAGTAGTAGGTATATGACAGGTGCTCAATACTAATGAAAATACAATAATTATAGCTAATGTTTGCGAAGTGTTCTCTGTGCATTATCTCATTTAATCCTCACAGCCTCCCTAAGAGAAAGGAACTATTGACACACCCATCTTAGACAGGAGGAAACTGAGGCTCGGAGACGTAACTCATTTGCTGCACAGCTGGTAAGTGAAGGAAGCAGGATTTGAACTCAGGCTGCCTGACTTGTGTGCTAGACCCTTAGCTAACCACTACCCATTCTCCCACAGTTTCGGGTTGCCCCCTCAGTAGGGCACACTTGGTGGGCTTCTGGCCACTTAGGTCGGGGCACTCCTTCCAGCCACCATGTATATGGCAGCAATCTTAGGGCAGTCTTCTGGGCTACTCTTTCAAGGTCACAAGGAGTGGTTAACCAGAGGAAGGAGAAAATAGAGTTGAGGCACATGCCTTATGGAATTTTTCTGGCCTTTTGTGAATTCTGGGAAGAGAAAAAAATGGCTGTACTTATTCCAAGTATGTCAAGATAATAAGGGACTCTTTGCTGTTTAGATGCAAAAATCTCAGGCAGCCAGCACCTGCAAGCAGCAGGCAGAGAATCTGAGACCTACAGGTCCTGAACTGGGGCCCCAGGCTCTGGAGTGGGGCAGCTGGCCTAGATGTGGAGAAGCGAGAAGGGAAGGAATCCTCAGGGCCCCAGCCAGCATTTCCTGCAGGAAGAATTTTGTCCTTGTCCCTGGAATGTGGGCGGACCCCTCCTGTGAGGAAAGGGAAGTGAACTGCTGCCTCCCTCCAAGCCTCTGACACCCCACCCCTCCTCAGGCTCAGCACCCTTTTTTCTTTGGGGGCATCCGGCTGTCTGGTAAAGCCTCATTCCTCAGCAACCCTCTCATCCGAGGAGAGGCCCTGCTGAATGGGAGCTCTGCAGAAACACATTGTGTTATGAAACGCGATCTGCTTTCAGAATCACTGCACTCTCCAAGAGTAAGGGCCAACCCTGCTCCCCTCAGTTAGGGCAGATCAAGTGGAAGCCAGTGAGGGGAAGAGCCCCACGTAAGAGGAAGTGGCCCGAGGATTTGGGTGGAGGAGGGGAATCACAGACAGCAAGGGCCTCTGGCTTCTCCTCCTCTGGAATCTATTTATTTACATAATTCTAAACGTCTGAGTTGAAAATGGAAAAGGACAATTAATGAGCAATCTTCATGCACTTATGCATCCATGAATTCAGCCAACACTTTTTTTCATTCAGTGTGTGCCCTGGGGCTGGATATGATGCCAGGTGCTGAGTATTAAGAAGTATCTAGAATGTCTAGATTGATGTTTCTTATTTGGAGGTGGGTTTGCCTGAGATTTACATACTCATGCTGGGCCCCACCCAACCTGGGAGTCAGGACTTTTGGGGAGGAGTCTGGGTACTAGGACTTTGAAAACTCTCCAAGTGACATGGACATGAATCTCTGGTCCAGATACAATGACCAGATTGGAAACATATTTGTTCCAAACAGAAGTATCCACAGTCTTATCTCTGGGAAGGAGTGGGCATAACCTCTGGCTTGGATTTATTCACTCATTCACTTATTCATTCATTCCACTGGTATTTAGCATTTATTGAATTCTGTCCGGGGCCATGCCCTGCACTAGGCATGAGGTTGCAGAATGACCTTGCCCTCTTGGGGCTGTGAAGTCTCATCATGCCACTCCTCCCTCTGTGATGCTCCCCATTTCATTTTCATGAAAGCCAAAGTCCTTACAGTGAACCAGTGGCCAGGTCCTACGTGACCTCTTCCCCAGTACCTCCCTGACCTCCTCTCCCACTGCCCTCCCTCTGCTCCCTCTGCTCCCTCTGCTCCCTCTGCTCCCTCTGCTCCCTCTGCTCCAGCTGCCCTGCCTCCTGACTCTTCCTTCTATAAGCCTTCACTCTAGCTGCCCCTTCCCTGGCATGCTTCTGCCCCAGGCCCCCTCTGCTAACTACCGAAGGCTACAACTTGCACCCACCCCCAGCACTGCTTATCCTGTTCTTTTGCTTCTGTTTTCCTTAGCGCTTCTCCCCTTCTTGTCATTTTCTTGTTTATTCTGAATATCATTTACTGTCGACAGTCTCTCCCTCTCCTCCCACAGAATGTAAGCACCCAGAGGGCAGCATCTTAGGTTTGTCAGTGATGTAGCCCAAGCATCGATAATAGTGCCTGGCACGTAGTGGATCCTCAATAAATACTTGTCGAATGAATTAAGCAAATAGTAATACAGATAAGGGTAAAATTACTAATGTGGGAAGTGCTGGCTAGAAGAGAATGAGAAAATTTATCTCTGAGCTCCTCCCAACTCTATAATTTTACTTTTGTTTTTCTTTGAGACATCGTTCAGTGTTTACAATTATCCTGTGTGGTCAAGACCATTCCTTTCTATTTTTGTTACCGCTGTGTTTTCCCATGGCACGAGCCTCAGGAGGGGAAAGTATGTTGAAGACCCAGCGGTCCTCTGCCCCAGGGCTCTCTGTCACATCCCTGTGAGTGAGGGCAGCAGGTGACCTCTTGGTGTCCAGTCACGTATTCAGCCAGGATGAGTCACTGAGCCTGTTCAGAAGGCTAAGATAATAAAATTTTAGAACGATTGTAAAAATACCTAACATGCCAGCAGGGAATCATCAATCAGCAGATTCAGGAGGTTCTAAGGCTTCTGACCCTCTAAGGAAAGGGTGCTCCAGGGTGGCAGATATTGTGTGTGTGTGTGTGTGTGCACGCTTGTGTAAAAGGAGCTGGACCAGTGACCTCATCCCCAGGATCCCAGCAAAGGTCAGGAAAGCTACGTCTCTGAGGCAGGACAACCACATGGATGGTCTAACTCATCAAAGACAAGATGTGTCAGAACCCTGAAGGCAGCCAGCCTTGCCAAGAGGGCAAGGGGACAGCAGCCTTGGGCCAGCTGGACCCTTAATTGTCCCAAGGATGAGGTGGGGGCAGCAAGTCATTGAAGTCTGATGCCCTCAGTCAGCCCTCTATCATGAGTGAGACAAGTGTCCAGAATCATGGTCATAGTGACCATGAAGGTTAGTCTTTGGCCTTGTTGATGTACCTCTTTCCCAGAAAGCCAGGGCATGGGGTCTAGGAAAGTTGGGATAGAGAGCAGACTATGTCAAGGAGAGAATGCCATCCTGTGTTGTTTAAAATAGGGCAGCCACCACCGGCATTTTGCTGATGTCCAGCAATTTCTTGGTGCCTCAGAACCCTTGCCCTTCTTTAAATGTGCTGAAGGCAGTGCCTGGCAAGCCCAGGGATGGTGGGTGCAGATGGCTCAGCTGAGGAGTCTGCAGTGAGGGGAGGAGCCCTGGATACAGCCTGGTGTAAGGTTCTCTGCTAGGGCAGCGCGAGGCTATCTACAGGAGCCCAAGAGGAGCAATGGAGATGGAGACACCAGGCCAAGGTGGCTGCAGGGAGAGGGGTCAAGATAAGAGGGGGCATGGGCTGGGTCAGAGCTGACACACTCCAGCAGGGGGGAGACAGGAGGTCACAGGCGGTGACTGAGGTATCATGGTGTGGCCGGCGGAGGTCAGGTCCTGGGAGCTCACAGAGAAGAAAGAATGCTGGGAATATCTTCTGTTGAGAATGAATCCAGGCTGGAATTTTCTGTGGCTTGATCAAGTCGCCTTCTGTGTTCTAATGACCCAGACCCAGGTCCCAGGGCCTCATGGACAGCCTTCAAAGGCTCCACCACGGGCACCAGCTTTCTTTCCTCGCCTCGTGCAGTCTTGGCCCCATGGTCCCGGTGCTTCCCATAACTGGCTTCTTCTTTTGCGTCTTTGCTCTTTTCCCACTCATCCTTCACGATAAAATGCCGCCACTTCTGGAAGCCTTCTACAAACATGCTAGTGCCCTTGGTGACTTGGAATGGCTCTTTTGTTTAGGAGTACCCCTCCGTGAACCACAAACACATTGGCACGGGTGATACAGAAACACCTGCTCTACACATAGTGAGTTTTCTCTCATCTGCATCCAGCCAGCTTGAGCTCCTCCACTGCAGGGCTGCTGCATCCAAGCCTAGCACAGTATTAGAGGAGGTGCTGAAAATGATGCTTGGACATATGCTTCCTTGTTCCCCCTCACCCGCCTCTGGACCCATTCCTGGTGTCCCTCTCCCTCCCTCCCTCCTTCTCCTTTGGGGAGCTGTAAAATGTGTCAGCCTTCTGCTGCCGAAAGTGATGAATCACCTGTCCCCACATCAGCCCCACGTGGTGAAAATCTCCCATCCAGGAGTGTGCAGGAAGCGCCACAGACTGTGGCTTGGCCTTGTCATAAGGAGCAAATGAGAGGGCGCTAGGCCTATGCAAGGCAGGAAGGGGCGGGCGGGGGTGGGGGGGGGGGGGGCGGAATCCCACCTCCTATCCTGTGCGTGTTCTTGGTTTCTTCCTGCTGGGGCTGTGTAGACATGTAGACAGGCAGTGGTGTGGCCCTCAGCTGCGGTGGGCCTCCCGGAGTCTTGGGCATCACCGGCAGATGCACAGCTAGGCATGGCAGGGAGGGTGAAGACAGTACTCAGCAGCACAGCACAGCCCAGACTGCCTGACAGATGATGGGGACACAGAGAGCTCCAAGAAGCTAAGGAGGAGCCAAGGCCCAGGTGAGCTCCTCCTTAAGCCTGACGTGGGAGGTAGGCAGCAATACCAATGTAGGTAAAGGTAAGGGTAGGGCCTGAAATGGGCCCTGGGGCCTTTTAGCTCTACCAGATCAGCTCAACGGGAAGCCAGGACCGGGAGGGCCAGGCAGAATGGGGAAGGTTGTGGGCCAGGACCAGCACCTTGAGAAGCCAATGGGCTGCTAAAGGGGACTCAATTCTGGGCGAGGCCCAAGAACCAATGGTCATGCTTCCTCTCATGCCCAGGGGTTCTGGGTATGGGCAAGCCTGGGCCTGATCCCTTCCATGGTCACTGTCTAGCAAGAAATCTGCTGGAGTGAATGGCCCCAGGAGTGAAGCTGCCCATGGGCAACTTGCATGCTGGGCCCCTGGCTTCCTCCCCCACTCCTTCTGTAGGTCACCGGTGGGAGCTTGAGGCCAGAGCTGCCAAACAGCAGGGTGCATAGCACTGTGGGCCTCTGAGTGGGGATGGCAAGCCAGCGGGGTGAGTCTCCAGCTGCTCCTAATATGCAAAACTGGCCTTTCCACTCCCTGCCCCCAATCCTGCCCTGGTGCCCTCTAGGCAATCAGGATGGCATTCAACTATAGCCTCAGTCTATGAGGCCCTTGTAATGAGGTCTGGACACTCTCTGCAGCCTTACCTCTCATTCTTCTTCACCTGGTAAATCACTCCAGGTCCCTCTGCCTCAAGCACGTGGGACTCAAAGGCCACCCCATCACTCAGCTGTCTCACTTATCTTGCACTTGTTGCTCCAGTAGGGGAGCGACTCTGACCCCCAACTAGTTCCTCCCTGCAACCCCACAGCTCCCCCCTGCCCCCTGCCAGGTCAGTGCACTGCTGAGTGGATCCAGATGTCACACTCTTAACTAAGTCACTGAGGATCTCATGGTAACAGCCTCTCTCGAGCAATTCCCTTCTCAGCCTGCAAGTTCCTGCAGTGTGCTCACCCATCTGGTGGCCAGGTCCCCACTGCTCTAGAGCTTTCTAGCTACAAACCCATAGGCAAACTAGGCTACCTTTTTATATTCATACACTTAAAAATACCAGGGAAGATTGCCTATTGGCCCAACTTAAGGCAGTTATCCACCCTTGGACTACCCACTATGAGTAGGGTATTTAAGAAGATGACAGTTCTCATTCATAGCACATGGTTGGAGGAGAGCAAAGAGCAGATTCTAGGAGATGGGTGCTGCTCCAGGCAGACAAAATAACGTTAAACATTGCATGAGTGAATGAGTGAATGAATGAATGAGCGAAGAGCAACACGTGGTCTAGCTTCTAGAGTGTTTGTAAATCATTCTCAAGAGCTCTTACAAAAGCCTATGTTCCCACATTTCATAGATGAGGAAAGAGGCTTAAAGTCACACAGTGAATAAGAGTAGTCAAGATACCACGTCTGTATAGCATATGACATGTGCGCCCTGGGAGGCTTTCCTCCCACAGAAATGTGGGCAGTTAGACCTCTCCTGGGAAGTCACTGGAGAAAAGAGCAAATGTTTGCCTGTGAGGGAGGGAAGAGGGGACTCTGCCAAGGGTGAAGCCCAAGCCCATTCCTGCACCAGCTCTCATATTTGAAAATCTTCTCTTGCCTTGGTCAGTATTGTACATGAGGACGTAGCTGCTTCTTTGGGGATTGGAGATCATGTCATCCTTGCTTTAGGGTTAGACTATGATTCATAACAATGAATATCTGAGTTGTGACTAGAGCTATATGGGCCCCAAGACACGGGGGCCGTTATCCAGAATCGGATGAAGATGAGAGGGTTCTTGATCTGGGCTTTAGAGGGTAAGCGGGCTGCTCAGTTTCCACTTCCTACTACCTCCTCCCCCACACACCAGGAAACGCACTGGTTTCTCCCGTGCCTTTAACACACGGCACTTTCTTCAGTGCATCACAGTCAGCGGCTACACTTGCTTTTTAAGGGCAAGCTCTGCGTCTCTTCACCTTATCCTCCCAGAACTTGGAGCCTATGGTAGATTGTTTGCAAAGATGGCTTCAATAGCTCCTCCCATCCCTATGCTTTGCTCCTTTGCCACCTTTTCTGTGAAAAGATAGAGTCTATTTTCCTACCCCTTGAATTTGGGCTTAACCATGACTAGCTTTGACCACTTAGAATGCAGCAGCCTAGTCCTCATGAGGCCCTGCAGCTTTTACTCTTGTCCTCTTTGAACCTGCCAAACTGTGTATGAATGTGCTTGTGTTGGTTGCTGGAGTGTGTGAGACCACATGGCGTAGACAAGTGCCATTGCAGTCGACGCCCATCTGACTGACTACCACCAGCACCAAAAGTCAGACATGTGAATAAATCCATCTTAAACCTTCCAGCCCCATAGAGCCACTAGAAAACTGTAGTCACACTAATGACTCAGGTGAGACTAGGAGAAAAGTCTCCCAGATGAGCCCAGCCCCGATTGCTGACTCAAAGAATTGTGAGCAAATACAATTGTTGTTTTAAACAGCTAAGTTTCTAAGTGGTATGTTCCACAATAATAGATAACAGTAAAGGGCAGTTCCTAGTTGTAGTGGGTTGTGAGTCCCTCAAAGATACGTTCAAGTCCTAACCTCTAGAACCTGTGAATGTGACCTTATGTGGAAATTTGCTGATGTAATCAAGTTAAGGTGTGGTCATACTGAATTAGAGTGAGCCCTAAATCCGATGGCTGATGTCTTTTGAAGAGAAAGAAGAGAGAGATTTGGATACAGCAACACAGAGGGAACACAAAGAAGAAGGCCATGTGATGATGGAGGCAGAGATTGGGGCTGGCTGATGCTACTATAAACCAAGGAAAGCAAGGATTGGCAGGGGCCACCAGAAGCCAGGAAGAGGCAAAGAAAGGCTCTCTCCTAGTGCCTTTGGAGGGAATATGGCCACCTTTGGAGGGTATTGCCACCTTGATTTCAGACTTCTAGCCTCCAGAATAGTGAGAGAATAAATTTCTGTTGTTTAAGCCACCTGGCTTGTGGTAATTTGTTATGACAGCCCTAGGAAATGAATATACTGGTTCAAAAGTTTTGCTCGGAGAGTGCTAACCAGCTGAGTGCAGACGCTGAGAAGCCGAGGGGTATTAACTCACTCTTTTGGCACCTCTCCCTGTACTGGCCGAAGTCTCCATTCAGCTGGGTCACCATTGCCCAAGGCTCAGACACGTGCATCTTCTGCCCAGCCCTAGAGGTCTGGCTCCAGGTGTGCCAGGAACGATGCTCATGGCTTTCTCTCAAATGAAGATGTGGGGTGCGTGTGTCCACATGCACTTTTTTCTGCACGTAAAATTAGTTTGTGAACCTTTAAATATGCCTAGAAAATAAAACAAAATACAAAGAAGAGGAGAAAAGTTACCCATCATTTTATCATCCAGAGACAGCCACAGTCAACATTGGTTTGTAAATTCTATTGTCTTTGTTCACACAAATGTTGATGTATTATATGTGCCATTTTGTGTCCTATATTTTTCACTCAATAATATACCATGGATTTTTTCTGTGTCAATAACTAAGAGTCTATTTACTCAGCTCATATTTATTGACTACCCACTATGCATCAGGCATTTTACAGAACTCCGGGATGCAATAATGAAAAGCCAGTGCATTTACAGTCTCTGTCCTCATGAAGTTTATAGCCTGACAGGGGACACAGGCATCAAGCAAAAAATTACACAAATACTTTTTTGGCTTTCTATTTTGAGACCATTTTACACTTGCAGAAGAGTTGCAAATATGACTCAGAGTTCTTACATACGCTTCACCCAGCTCCCCTTGATATTAACACCTCCCACAATGATATTACAATTCTGCAAACTAAGGAATCAACATCGATGCAGTACTATTCAGTACAGTTTCTTTTCCATATATATATATATATACATTTTTTTCCAAATATATATATATATATATTTTTTTTTTGTTCCCTGTTCCAGGATCTAATATAGTGTCTCTTATTACATTTAGTTGTCAGGTTTTCCTAGTCTCCTCCAATCTGTGACAGTTCTCCATTTTTTCATGACCTTGAGACTTTTTTAAAGAGTACGTGTCAGTCACTTTGTAGAAGGTCCCTTGATTTGGGTTGGTCTGATGTTTTCTCATGATTAGATTGAGGTTATGCATTATCAGAAAGGATACCACAGAGGCGGCGTACCCTTTTCATTGCATGATATCAGGAGGCACATGATATCAATATGTCTCATTAACTGAGCGTGTTAACCTTGGTCACTTAATAGAAGTGAAATCTGCCAGGTTTCTCCACACTAAAATTACCATATTCCCCTTTGTCATTAATAAAGATTTGTTTTGGGAAGGATATTTTGAAATTACGCAAATATGTTTCTTCTTGAACTTTTGCCTACTAAGTTTAATATCCATGGGTGGATCTTGCCTGCAGAGATCTGGTGTTCTCATGATGATTTTCTATTTCCTCATTCCTTCTATATTTATTAAGTGGAATTCTTCTGTAAGGGAGAGTTGTCACAAATACTTCTGCTGTGACAGCAGTGTAGAATTTTACAAGGATGCCACAAAAACATAAAACAGAGTGACTTAACTCAGTCTGGGGTAGAGAGGGAAGTCTTCCCTGGAGAGGTGACATTTGGGATAATTCCTTCAGGATCAAAAGTAATTAGCAGGGCAAAGGGTTGGGAGTAAAGGAGAAATGTTCCAAACACAGGAAATAGCATGAACAAGAGATCTACACCCAAAGCTGATAGAGACTTTATGAAACTGCATAATTGACTTTGGCCTGGTAGAAACCTTGGCCACCTGGAGGGACTTCCTCATTTAAGGGAGCAGCTGCTTCTTACTCCAGCCAAAGCCTTGCCAAGTGGAAATGAGGGCCGAGAATTGCTGGAGTTTCTGGTGTTCAAGAGAAACTGGACATCTGGCTTTCATTTTCCATAAAATTTCTCAGTTTCTTAATGTTGACAAATAATCCCATTCTCCTTAAAAGCCAGACAAAACCTGTGAGCTGTCAGGGTTGGTTTGTTTGTTTGTTTTTCTTTAAGAGTCTATTATTTTACAAGCAGTTTTAGGTTCGCAGCAAGATTGGGAGGAAGGCACAGAAATTTTCCATATATGCCTGGCCTCCACCCCTTGCACAGCTTCCCCGCCATCAACATCCCTCACCAGAGTGGCATATTTGTTATAACTGATGAACTGCATTGACGCATCATAATCAACCTAAGTGCATAGTTTATATTGGGGGTCACTCTTGGTGTTGTATATTCTGTGGGTTTTGACAATTGTGTAATGACATGTATCAACCATTATCGTTATCATACAGAGTAGTTTCATTGCCCTAAAAATCCTCTATGTTCTGCCTATTCATCTCTTCCTTCCCACCCTCAGCTGTCAGTTTTTCACCTGCACTTGGCTGAATCATAACTTATTATCTATCTCTCCTGTGGCTGGACCTCGAACTTATTTTCAATTGTTCACTGTTATAAACAATGTTGTAATGAACATTCTTGTACAGACAACCTTGAGACCTTCTCTAGCTGTGAAAATTTCCTCCAAATAGTCCCTTGTAGCCTCTTCATTGCCAGACTCTTCATTTTCCAGACCCCACTCTCTCTCATTCCTCCACACCTCATGTTCTCTTAATGCTTCAGTTCTCTCTCTACTTTTCCTATGATTGTTTTTCCATTTCCATCAAGGTCTCAGTCAACTCTGGCTGATACCACACTGGAATCCACATCATCAGTAGAGTCTATGAGGTGGTCTGGGATGTAGTCCTACAGAAGGTGCTCAGCTCTCACCTGTGTTGAGGGACACAGCTGGTCCTGATCTTGGGGACATTTCAGGCCAGTGCCCTGGCCTAGCTCACTCTGCTGGTCCCCTTCCTAGAAGGGAAGGGCCCAAGGCCATCTCTGCAAGCACTCTGGTTGTTCAAAGGGCAGCAAATACATTCTTGATGGATTCACTGAATTGCTCTGATACGGTTGGTATGGAGAAGATAAACAGCTCAGGCCTAATGCCAGAATCCAGAGATGAATTCCCACCACATAGGGAGTGAAGAAACTGGGATCTACTTTTAGCACAAGCAGGCAGGGGCCACCACCCCAGCTGTCTGGCCAGGCCTAGCTTTCTTCCAGTGGTGCCCTTTAGTGGCACTGTCTTTGTGTTGTGACTCGACTGTTCGTACTGTGGGAGTCAAAATCCAGCCTGACACATGGTCGGGGAATGGATAGGGCAAAAGGAAGGGCAGCTTTTCCTGCCCCTAAAGCAACTACTCAGGGAGACAAGGGAAACTTTCTTTCCTGCTTGTCCTGAAGAAGCCTTCGTCTGTGGCCAGGTAAAAGGTGAAGGCGGAATCCTGATTGCTGCTTCTTACGGGGAATAGAGGTGGGGTGTAGGAGTGCCTCATGATCTCTGAGTCTTGGATTGGTTTAAGTGGCATCTACTGAGGGATTTTTAAAGTTAAGAATAAAATGAAGCTATGAGAAAGTCTGGCTGTCAGTGGACTTTCTTTTAGAATTATTTTATAAATAATAAAAATTACTATAAAAATAATTACATCCCCACATACTAAGCACTTACTCTATGCCAAACATGAAGCTAAGGGCTCTTCATACATATCTCATTTAACCTCCACGCCAGCTCCCAGAGGTTCAGATTAAAAGCCCTGGTTTCAGGATGAGCTTAAAAACCTAATCAGAAGTTGTATTAATACCAGGACAGGCTCAGCTGCCGGAGCTTCCACAATTCTCCACCCGGACCACAGCAGACAAGACCCTGCTGTCCATAACACATCCACTCATCTATCTTGTGTTTGCTCTCAGGATCCCTAGAGTGTGTGTCACCACCTTGAGACTTTGCTATGTTTCCCCATGCTGGGAGGAGTTGCATGTGGAGGGAAGACTCCAAGTCCCCCTAACCTTCTATCTCCCAAGTCTGGGCCTCGAGGTGAGATACCCTTGACTGGTGGACCAAGCTGCCCAATGTCCCCTCACCTGGGATGGGCTTCATCCTAAGTTTGGATTTTTCATAATCTCCCTTGCCTCTGTGGTTTACAAGGATTATACATACTCAGACATTTGTGATAATGGAATGGTTACTATTTCTACCAGGAACTCTTTGGAGGCTCATGAGAGCCTGTGTTTTATAGATTCACCTTTTCATTCATTTGTTGGGGCTCATGGAGCACTCGCTGCACCTGGCACTGCTGGAGGGATAGGAGACACTGCAGTGAGCCGGGCAGATGTGGCCCTAGCCGTCCTTGGCTTGTATTCCTGTGGGAAAAATTCTCAGAGCAATACTAGCAAAATGAATTCGTATAAAAAGGGTTCTACACCATGACCAAGTGGGACTTATCCCAGGAATGCAAGGTTATTTTCACACCTATGAATCAATTCTCCATATTAGTAGATTTAATGACAAAAACCACATGATCATTTCGATAGTCGCAGAAAAAAGCATTCAGTAAAATCCAACACCCTTTCGTGATGAAAAGACTCAGCAAACTGGAAATAGAAGAGAACTTCCTCAATTTAGTAAAAACCATCTACAAAAACCCACAGGTAACATTATACCTAACTGGTGAAAACCTTAATGCTTTCCTCCTGAGATCAGGAACAAGAAAAGGATATCTGTTCTCACCAGTTCCATTCAGCATTATACTAGAGGTTGTAGTCAGAGCAATTAGGCCAGAAAATTAAATACGAGGCATCCAGACTGGAAAGGAAGAAGTAAAGCTATCTCTATTTTAGATGACATAATCTCGTACGTAGAAAATCCTAAGGAATCCACTAAAAAATCATTAAGATTAATAAACGAGTTCTTCAACGTGGCAAGACAGAAGCAATATGCAAATGTCAATTCTATTTCTGTACACTCGCAGTAAACAGTTCTAAAATTAAATCAGAAATACAATGATATGTATAATAGTATCAAAAAGAATGAAATGCCTGGGAATAAATTTAACAAAGAAAAAAGTGCAAGACTTGTACACTGAAAGCCACATTTTAG